AAAAAAAAAAAAAAAAAAAAAAAAACCCGGAACAAACTTATTCCTGCTTGGAACAAAATTTTTCACTTGTTCAAGTTTCATTTGTCAGAACAAAATTCATGGTTTTTTTTCTACAAATTAAATTATTTGCCAACAAAAATTAATGATAGTTTTGATGGTTTATGCTACCACTTTAATGGACAAATTCAGTCTTCAAATTATTTAGCATCTTGTTATTTCATCAAAGTGCCGATTCTGCAGCTGCTACCGTTCATCGTGACTGTCGATTTATTTATAACAGACAAATTACTGCAGTTGTTGTTAGACTTTTTCCACATTGGTTTGATAATCGTGTTATTGTAAACAGTTTCTTCTGTTGCTTCCGTTTTTTTCTTTACATTTTCATTTTTTAAGTGTTAAAAGGTTTACTTTTTTTTAATATCAAATATCGTATCGATATAAACAGCAAAATCAGTTTAACTGTATTAAACTATAGGCATTTTACTAGGATGACTTCAATAATATGATATAACAGTGTTTAAGCTAAAGCTTATTTTATGCCTTTTATTTGTAACAATCCAATTCCTCCTTTTTTTTTCGATGTCCATTATAGCAGATCTATAACACAGTTCAAGTATTTAAGAATAGCAAATATGAATGGTATTAATCTTTCTTTCATTTCAAACTTCTTTACTCACATTGAGACTTTAACAGCCTTTACCCGTTTTTTTTCGCTGTTTTTTTGGAATAAACACTGACAATGTGTTAGAAAAAAATTGTTAGAATATCATCAGAAAAGAAATATTATTCTTTGTATTTTCTTTTTTCTTCCTAACTTTCAATATTAATTCAATTAGATCAGTTTTGCTAAACCAATTTGTCGACAAAGATCAGTACATTACAGATGTTCAGAAGTCTGCCTAATGATCAGTCTTACTGAACAAGAGATTATTTTTTGAATTATTTCTTTGATATAGTACTTCAGTTCTCTCACTCCAAAAAATTTCACTGTTCCGTAAACCAAATCAGGCAAGAAACCAATAGATTGTTCAACATAAGGCCCTTTATGGAACTCTTTTGTTGTTCGCAGTACTTTAGTTTTTAAGCAATTTTTTTTGATGGTATCATCAAACTATAGAATATGCTGTAAAATTCCCCTTTATGTACAGCATTTTTGATTGGTTTGGTTATAAAAATTAAAATCCTTTCTCACTTACGTTTACACAGGATTAAGCTGTGCAACGACACATTTTTTTGTCAAGTATAAAATTTATTTTACTTGAAACTATCAACTAATTTGCAATAATAGTAATTCGAAACAACTGATGACTAAATAAACAAAATAAAGCACTATTATAAGAAAACAACAGAAGGAATGAATAGGACAACTAATAAAAGAACAGAAGAAACCCGGTAAAATTGATAAACTGAAATTGCATTTAACTGAACAACGATAGCGATCAAATTAATAAACGATAAA